AACTTTCTGAATGTTTTAAAACTTATGAAACATTCAAGTGACACAAATAAATGAAAATCTGTCGGTGCTAAATTTGATAAATATCGGCAGTGATGATCATTCTATGTTTGATGACCTGTAACAATACGATGTAAAAATGAAAGTTTAGCATTCTTGGTTAAAAGCAGCTCTTGTTATGTTGTGTACAGTTCTTAAGCAAAAGTTGATGAGGAACCGAAATTACCATTTGCAAAAGTTCTCAATGAAACTTTAAAATACATTATAAGCGGCACAGTGTTGGATAGAGAAATAATAATCTAATTCTGAACGAAGTTTTCTACTCTTCAACATTGCTTCTGTTTTGACTCGTGATTCATTACGGTGATATTCATTCTTACTTTTTGGACAAGCTAATACAAGTAGCACTTAAATACGTATTCTCTCTCTCTCTCTGTATATATATATATATATATATATATATATATATATATATATATATGCGTAGAATAATTAGTTCAATCGAATGCAAGAGCTACTTTTCTTAATTGTGACTGCTTCCTGCTTCTTGGCTCTTTTGTCAAACGATTTGTTTAAAGAAAAATACCTGAGAAAAGCGAATTTCATTCGAATTATATATATATATATATATGTGTGTGTGTGTGTGTGTGTGTTAATCGGTATCACCCCATACAAGACAGTAAAGCCACTAAGCCACAAGGGGTTAGAGGGTGTGGAAGAATTAGGAACAGAAACATTAATAATGCGCTGGAAGAGAAAAGAGTAATCAGTAATACTTTAGATAGAGACTGATTTAAATTTTTGCAGATTAAAGTTGGCTGGAAAGCATGGAGCCGGAAGAGAGTTCCATATAAAATAAAACAAGCATATTTTATAAAAGAAATAAATAATCATTTTATAGAAGAAAACTCTTATTCTTAATAACCAGAATTTCTTAATCTTTACTAATGTCTTTTTGGCCTGCTAAGAATCTCCGATGTTTTTCTTTATTTGCCAAGACTGCATAGCCGCATCGCTGAGCTTATGGATTAGGAATACCTGAATGGCTGCGGTTTTGGATTGCCAAGACTGGGTAACTGGACAGATGAGGTTCAGAATTGGCGAGGCTGAATAGTAAGATCGTTATTGTTGGACTACGAACATAACAACCTTAAGTGATGATGACGATGGGTGAATCTTATACCACGCAGAGTTGCACTTCTTGTCATCATATTTAACTTAATATTTTGTCAGTACATTTTAATCTGTGTTCAGTTCTGCAATTTAAACGTCTATTTCTAAATATCTTGCTTTTTTTATTTTAATCTTTGAATTTAAACGGGAGAAAAAAACTCCAAAACGAAATGTAGCAAACGCTATACAGTTAATGAACTAAATAACTGAGCGGGACCAGTGAGGATTCGATGTTGAAAGCTTTTTCTGAATGGTTTTACTCAGATATCATTATTTTCTTTTAAAATTGGAGCCTATTTATTACAAGTTTTGAAATATGCGAGATGGAATGTATAACTAATGGAAGGTTACTGTATAACAAAAGAAGAGTTGCAAGAATTATATTAGAAAAAGCAATTGTAGCAATGAAAATGAAAATTAATAAGTCTAATAATGTTGATCAAGAATACGGAGATAGTGAGTGACATTGACATCAGCGTTGAAATAGCTACGATGATGATCATTTTATCTGGTCTGTCACTTCTTAACAATTTACAGAAAAAGGACATTTTCACATCCCGACAACATTTATAATTTTTTTTTCTTTCTTTAAAAATTATGCTCGATTTTCTCCGTCAGGGTGGCATCGTTTTCTAGGTATCTGAAATGAACTTTTATATATATATATATATATATATATATATATATATATATATATATATATATATATATATATATATATATATATATATATATATATATATATATATATATATATATATATATATATATATATATATATATATATGTGTGTGTGTGTGTGTGTGTGTGTGTGTGTCTGTCTGTGTCTGTGTCTCTGCGTGTGTAAATCTGTTTTAGGTTTTATCGTTTTTTTTTTATCTTTTCTTTCTTTTTTTTATTTTCAGGTTTACGTCTTCATATTTGTGCTTTCCAAAATAAGAGACAGGGAAATGTTTCTTATAGAAGCATACAATCTGACCGGTTTTTTATTCCCTTATTCCGCGACTGTGGGGTGGGGGAGACTTAGACAAGATTTAATCGTTACAGGAATTTTTTACAAAAAGTATTTTATTCCACATTCATGCAGTCGTAGTGGATGAATGAATTTGTGTACGAATATATGCGTGTATATGATTAAATGTATGCGATTTTGTATGCGAGTGTGTAAGAAGGAGAGTATGTCTGAGTGTGTCATCTGCACGGAAGCTCTCGTATAGGTCAATAATCAATAATCATACTGATCGAACTCTCTCACCTCATATATTTTTATTTGCATTGTTTCATAAAAGGACTTGTGATAAGAACGTTCTATCACTGGAAGGAACTCCAAACTTGTTTAGTGTCTGTGCGTGTCTATTCGTTACAATACACTGTTAAAACACCTGCCAACAAAAGAAAATAGGCAGCTTCTAATATTACACAGGTTCATTTTGCTTTCAGTAGTATTAATGTTTGTCCAGTTTAGACCAAAATCTTATATTTTTCATATTATTTTCTTTATTTATACATAACTGCGTCGGTGGAAGTGTGTTGAAAAAAGTGAGAGGTGTTGTAAATTGGAAAGATAAGTGTAGTTCATTTAGTTCGTTGTCGATAAATACATTGGAAATGCACATTAGATTCTTCACTGACGAGGTAAATTAATAAACAATGAGAGGATATATGGCTAGAGTTGAAACTGAACGCAACGCTTACACTGTCAACAATAAGCATAAAATAAATTTATATGATTGCGGCATCATTATCGTGCTTTTATAATTGGCTACACGAAATTATGAATCTATTTTGGATTTTCGTCTTTGTTAAAATCATTATTACACCTCGCCTTTTTGGTGTTTTATGGTAACAGCCATCTTTGTCGTGAAGTCCCATTTCCATGCATTCAATATTAAGTCTCTTCTTACTATTACAAGAGGTATTGCATATCCAGTTTTGTGTAGAGTTTAAGGTTTTCCCGTGTTTTCAATTTGGCCAATTTATACGTGTTTGTGCTTTACTTTTGGGCCCTCCTTTGTAAATAAAGTACTAGAACTTAGAAATAAAGTTAAAATTTACTATGTTGAAATGGTTTTATAAATTCTATCATCTATTATAACGCAACGTGACATGGTGTCTACGGGGAACTGAAGTAATTGCAGTGAAAATCGATTAGCCGTTAAGTCGCTGTGCAAGTTTCTTTTAAATCAGTATGCGCGTGTATATATATATATATATATATATATATATATATATATATATATATATATATATATATTTCTTTATTATAGGTTATTACATTCGAACATACATATTTCCGCTGCAAAAAATGCATTAATGTTTCGATGCAACATAGCATCCAATCAGGCGGTGGTAAAATGATGTTTATAATGATTATTAGATGTTTATTTTATATATATATATATATATATATATATATATATATATATATATATATGTTTTATTTATTAGATGTTTATTTTATATATATATATATTTATTTTTATATATATATGTATATATATATATATATATATATAATAAATATATATAGCTGGCCCTCGTATTCGACGATACCCGTCTACTAGGGTGACTAGTCAATCCCTATTGCAGACACTTGCTCAGGCACATTTGTGTTTATTCAACACCGACATAGCCATATGTGAATTTCGTCTATCCAATTTCACTCACATGGCTTGGGTCAACCCGTGGTATGGTTTTCAAGCACTTTCCATTCCAATAACATTCTTCCTGACAAATCGACCATGGTGAGATTCAGACTACAAGTCTCATGGCCAAAAACGAACGTTCTAACCACTCGGCTATATATATATATATATATATATATATATATATATATATATATAATAAAAAGAAGAGAGAAACTGCAAACGTTTGGGTTTGTATCACAACACATTTATAAATGTAACCAGGGTGAATTTTAAATTATGCCAATATACAAAACAGACAATTATTCTTACCTTCAAATACAAGACAAAAACTTCATAAACAAACTTAAACTAGCACTAAATAGATCATAACGACATGCGCAAAAGCACACAACATGCACACGTAATGGCAAAATACAGTAGTCAAACCACTCGCATCCATGCGCATACAATCGCATACACGGGTATATGTGGAGAACCAATATGTATACACATATTGGCAAAAACAATAGACTGCTTACAGGGACGCGAGAAAACCCTACACAACATAATGAAGTGTGTGTGTGTGTGTGTGTGTGTGTGGATGTATATATATATGTATGTATATACGTGTATACTAATTCCTTATAATAAGACAATATGTATGTATAGAGAGGGAGTTCTCATGTACATACACGTACTGGTATATATATATACACATATTGACAAAAACAATACTGCTCACGGGCACGCACGCGAATAGGAAGTGTGTGTTTGTGTGTATATGTATGTATGTGTGTGTATGTGTACATATGTGTATACTAATTCCTTATAATAAGACAGTATATATATATATGGAGAGGGAATATATGTATGTGTACGCATGCTGACCAAAACACAAAAAAAATGAAAATGTAAGAACACACAGGGGTCATTAAAAGATAAGAATATAGATATCTTTCTCACCCTTTCTCGGACCAGTCTTAATTGTTTTATTACTCTTCACGCAGAATTCTTTCACTGCCAGTTCAAGAAAGACATTTAGGCCACTAACACACAAAAAAGAGAATGTCTAATATCGAGAATATTTAACATCGAAAAGCATAAGAATATTTAATTTCTTTTAATAATATGTGGAAATATCCACTCTTTGCCTGATGAAGGTCGCGAGACCGGAAATACGTGTAGCAAATATATATAATGGCTTACGGCTACATCATGTTGAAACACCGCTTCCGTACGATCACCGACGTTAAGCAACTTCAAGCCTGGTCAGTACCTAGATTGGGTGACTGCCTGGGAATACTAGATGCTGTAAACTTGGATTTGCGGAGGATGTAGCGGATAATGACTCGGAATTATTAATGAGAGAGCCGAGTTCCAATTCCAGTTGGGTTCGTTATATTCACTTACGCACAAATACCTTTTTCGCAAATTTATCGCAGATGACCTTGCGATCAAAGGCACTCGCAAGGTCATCTACGATAAATTTGCACCCTGGCTCTTACAACATGTCAAGATTCCTGGTAGATCTTCTATTATCAAAGTGTGGAATATCTATTAACAAAAATGGTGGAAACGCAAAGAAAAATGAAATCGGCTAAATTATATACATATATATATATATATATATATATATATGTATATATATATAAATCAACTCAAAATTCCCAGCATCCTTCTTTCGTACGCATGTGTAGTCGCACTGACGTAACAAATTTAGTCGGATGAAGTCGTAAAGGACGAAATACGTCAAACGAAAACTTTTTTCCATCCATTTTTAATACATTTCCCTCCGCAACACACACACACATAAAAAATTCATTATGGGGTCAGATTTTGGGAACTGGGTCGTACAGAGAACTTTTCAGCACCTCCTCGTATACAATCATACCCATCCAATTGGTATGTAGAAAACATATCTGAAAACAAGGCTCGAACCCATTAACATCTGCAGAACCTGTTTTATATAAATTCTTTCATATTCGGTCAGCCAAGATATAAGAGATTTGGACGTCATCATAATCAGCAGTTGTTGAAATAATTCGCCTTCGCATATCTGAACAAGCCGACCATGAAATAGTAACTTATGATATTTCATCTGACTGACGTTGCCTTTTGTTAAAAGCAATGACACATACCATAAAATTTCAGTGGAGAAAGATGATCGAGAGAATATGATATCTACTGAAAAATCTTCCCACAGAAAAGACCTGCAGTCAAATAGAACACATTTCGAGGAGTTTGAAAGAAATCTAACATATAGACAGAAGAAAAAAAAACATTTATGAATTTCGAGAATTTCAACAGATTGATCAACATCTTCCATTGACAAGTTACGCAGTATTTCCCTAGTCTCGCCGGATATTTTACACATCTCTCGAAAACGTTTCAGCAAGTACCTCAATCTGTATCAGTTTTTCTTTTTTAGCAAACCATTTCATGCCTTAAGGTCTCGGATATTTGGGCGGCACCCCGAATATATATATATATATATATATATATATATATATATATATATATATATATATAAAGTTATTGGTCAGAATTGAATTAGGCCAGGAAACAGTACTATTAAAAAGTGTTCAATACACGTATAAAGAAAATAAAAGAAGATAAAAATTTAACATTCGGAGCTTTTAAATTTAAAAAAAAAATAGATCAACCAATCACGCTACCTTGGTTTCAACCTTTTGCTATCTTCAGGCGATTCGGGTAAAATAATTTCCTAAAGCTTTATTATTTAAAAATAAACGCATGACGTGAAGCGTAATAGAAGTGGGAGGGGAGAAAAGCAAGCGTATTGAAATTGTAGTGGTGGTGGTGGGGGGGGGTAAATGAAATGTATATATTTTCATCGTGGTTCGTACGAACTCAAAAGGTGTGCATGCATCGTGTCATTATTTCTGATCTTTCATTCAGAAGGTTTTTCTGGTCTGGAAATGTTATTCTTAACTTTTCTTCCTGGCAAAGATTGCAGATATGTTTGCTGTAAGGGAGGCTTTTTTTTTATTTTGCAGTTTACAATAGGAACTTTTTCATTTTTTTTCTTTTAATTTCCACACATGACTGGCTAATCTGGAAGAATTCCTAAATCTTTTTAGCTTGAATGATGACTTGTGATTATACCATCTTTTCTTGAAGCTGTCTTTAGTAAATCCTGCGTATATTTTGGTTTGATCATTTGTATCTTTTACTTTTTTATAAATTACTCCTTTGGTTTTGCAAGCTCCATCTAGTGGACATTTACTTTTGTTTCTACAGTTACATGTTTTGCTGTTAACGATATCTTGCTGCATGTTAGTTTTGAAATTCCTGGAGTTTTATCTTTTTATTGTGGTTTCTAAATTGCTAGTACAGCTGTAGCTTAATTTAACCGTCTTTTTATTAAATATTTTTTGTGATTCGGAATTTTTGGTGAGGTGTTTAGTAAGTAATTTGAAAAATATTTTCCCTATTTTACATTTCACCTTCTAAGTTAAGAGGGGGATTAAACCAAATAATATTTTTTCTTTTCCTTGAATTATTCTTCATTTGTTGTTTTAATTTGAGGTTTAAATTCTAATTTAGTTTTATGCCCCTCTTCTTTTAAAGTCTTTTCATACTCTTTCTTTTATTCTTTGAAAATTATTTTACAAAGGAAATTTCTAAATAACCTGCACTCTATTCCTCCAGGGATGTGCTTTATTATACATGCATAGTCGTTAGATGCTGTGTTTATGTACCTCAATTTTGTGTTAGGTTTCATGTATGGGGAGACATTGCCGATGAATATTATGATCCTTGTTTTGTTTTTTTCTTAATAACACATTTCAAAAAAACATATTTCGATTCGCATTATATTTTTTCGTCTCGGATGCTACCTCAATTTTACCAAAAACAAAATTGGTAGGTTAATGCATCTTTAAAATTTTGTTAGCGAAGGAATTTTCCCATTTTATATCACTAACTTACTTTTTGCATGAATGATTCATTATATATATATATATATATATATATATATATATATATATATATATATATTTATATATATTTGTTGATTGATATCATAAAAAGCGTGAAACACAGTGTCACAAACTCACATCAATCCAACCAAATATGTTAGCTCTATCTCTGATATTGAGCGCTTTCTAATAAGTACCATGCATATAATATATAAATAATTATATATATATATATATATATATATACATATTTATTTATATTTATATACACACTTTTCATATACACACTTTTCACACACACACACACACATATATATATATATATATATATATATATATATATATATATATATATTGAATATTCTATGTGTTTTCTCATTTACAAAGCTCTTCTTCCGACGAAATAATGTTTTTATTTATTGAAGAAATCAAATATTGGTAGGGGAATAGAACGAAATGCAAACAAACGTCGGTTATAATTAAAACATGGAGAGAAATTCAGAAAATTCAGGGCGGCTTAACTTTAATTTAAATTTTAAATTTCTGGCGTCCGATGTCTAGATGTACAACCAAGTCGACCTCATTAAGCTTCCTGGCCGCTTCTGGTTTTGTTTTTATCTCTGTTCTTTTTAAATATGCCACATTGTTATAGCAGTAGATTTGTTAAGAAAGGTGACGTGCGTAAAATTACCTCGGAAAATCAACACAGACACTATATATATATATATATATATATATATATATATATATATATATATGTGTGTGTGTGTGTGTGTGTGCGTGTGTGTGTGTGTGTGTGTATAGGGAGCAAGCAAAACGATATAACACATTTGTAGAGTAAATACGAAAAATGTAATTTTTTATTTTCGTAATATACATATAATACCATTTTGATTTGTTCCGTTTCTTTTTCTGTTGTCAACATGAATTGGATGAGCGAGCATCGTGCTTTCATTGTGGAAACGTTTATCAAGAGCAAAGAATCGGTAACTGCGACACAAAGAAAGTTGGCCCGCCCAATCACCTGATTTGAACTAATGCTGTCTTATTCTATGGGGATACCTGAAATCAAAGATATACACTCATCGCCCTCGAACTATTGAACAATTAAACGATGCCATTCGTCAAGAAACTGCTGCCATTCGACATAAAATGACTCAAGTTATGGCCAACTTTCGTGAACGCCTTCGACAGTGTCGGCAAAGTAACGGCATCCACTTGACTGATATAATTTTTAAAAGAAAATGAAACAAGAGATACATTTCCAAAATAAAAACACATTGTTCATTCTTTACTTTATTTCCTTTTATTAGACCTACAAATGTTTCAAATCATTTGCCACCCCATATATATATATATATATATATATATATATATATATATTTTAAGACATTTTTTTATGTTTATACGTTCTTATATATATATATATATATATATATATATATATATATATATATATCAAGAGGAAAAAAATCCAGGTAGAGCTCTATGTACAAGACAGAGTAATAACATAATATAAAGGCTTAAACACTAATATTCCATGGTTAATATGTTCTGATATTTTCTGTTTTCTTTTTTGAATTTGTAGGTCTGATGAACTAGATTATGTTTACGATTCAATGTAATAAATTATAACCATGGAATATTAGTGTTTGAGCCTTTTATATTTATATATATATATATATATATATATATATATATATATATATATATATATATGTGTGTGTGTGTGTGTGTGTGTGTGTGTGTGTGTGTGTGTGATTAAATAAGGAAAATGTAAGAAATCTATATAAATTTAATAGGTTTGACAATTTAAATTTATCATACAAGTTGGGATTGGAAATATTCGTGGTTATATTTCAGTTTTTAATTTCAGTTGTTTTGGAAGTGAAATTCAACATTCGCCATATTATAACAGTCATATTATACTGAATTTTTAATTCACATGTATGTTTGATTTTTTAAATTTTAACTCGTAAGATAACATTTAAGAAATCATGCATACACACGGACGCCATATGACATGCGCACAACCAATGAAAACAAAAGAAACACAGAATTTAAATATTGATACATACATAAGTAAAAGCGACAAATAACACGCGATATCAACACAACCAATTAAAATAAAAGAAACAGAATTTAAATATTGATACAGACATAAGTAAAAACACCCAATAACACACGATATCGACGCAACCAATAAAAAACAAAACAACATAGAATTTAAAAACTGAAATATAACTCAAAAGGTTCTAGTTTCACTCCTTAAACTTTTGATGAAACTAAATAAATAACGAAACATTTATTTAAAAAAATCTTAATTGTTCTTTACTTAATCTTAGTATTGTATTTAATCCATATTTTCAACTCA